TACTTAGACCTAGGTTTATATTTCAAACAGAATTACCCCCTACTACCTCTTTGATCTAACATTCAAATCCAATGCATAATAGGGATTGAGAATAACGTATCAAAAAGGGTCACCGACCAAAGCTTAAAAGCAGATAATGGGTCCTATATATGGATTTCTTTTGAGAGTCTCTAACTTAGATAGGAACTAATACCAAATTCTGAAGGCCCTTAAATCATACTCAAGTGCAGTTCTCTCAACATCTAAGGAGAGTCAATTTCAAGTTTCTGACTTCAATTCAACTATCATGAAAATAGAGAAGAAAAAACATAAATTAAAAATAAAGGAGCAACAAAGTAAGAAAAAAGTAGTGCCTTGGCTCTCCATATCTTGGAAAGAAGATAATACAAGGCTCAAATAGAAGGAGAAAAAAAAGAAGATAAAGAAAACAGTACTGAAAATGATGTACCCACTTCGCATTTTTAAGTTATCAATTATCAATGTATCATCGTGGTATGGGGCTGCTCAGCTAGAAATATATGGTACAAAATACAAAGAGAGCTCATTGGAAGTTGGAACATATCCCCATATCTCATCTTCAGGAATAGGCTGCAATGTTTAGTCAAACTGTACTTCAAAACCTTTTTCAACATTTCATGAATTAATATTGAAATTCGAAAAAATAAATCATGATGTCATCTTGATGCAATTATATGTAAGAGAGGTCCCAATTCTTTTTTCTTTTAATTTGTATCGACTAAACATTATGACAATGTTCTCGCACAAAATATCAACAATTTAATGCTATAGGGTTAGCTGTAGGGTGTCTACTTTGATCCGAATTCTTAATAGCAAAAAGCTATATTTATATGCTCTACCTACCTTTTAATAGTGTTGTCAAAATAGACATGAAAGATGGGCCAAAAGTCATGCCCAACTTATTTAGTCCTACATGAAGCTTAATTAGACTATTATAACTATGACCTATACTGTTCCGTAAGCACTAAACATAGCTCGCTTTGATAAAATATTTTCCTCCAAATTTTTTTTATAGATATTAATTGACGTCCGAAACTCTAATAGATCGAACTAATCCAATTTCGGATTTGAATATTTCTCTTCTTCATAAATTGTAACTCTCAAGAATCAAACATATTACCTAGGGGTGGTAAATAAATCAGGAGCTTTATAGGGGCCTTTGGTTCTGCTCGTGAAGGACTGAACTTACATGTCTGAAATTGGTTATTGAAACCAGACTTGAACTTGTATAAAAGCTCGTTTAATAAAAAGACCTGAGGCTCTAATTCAAAAGCTCGGCATTGGAACCTCTCAGGCCGACCTAGTATATTAATTTTATTTTTATTTCATATTTTTTATACTACTTGTAATAGTCCATTCTCTCTCCTCAATCCATTTCACCTCATTTTTTTGGTTAAACAGATTTTTTGAATAATTTTGTTCTATATTATGCTGTTTGGATATACATTGAATTTATGAATATTTATGGAATTACTAATGTTGTTGCTTGTATATTCTGTTTGAATAAATTTTTATTGTCTTATTTTTTTTTAAACAGGCTAACAGGTCAAATTAGACTTTTATTTTTTGTAAATAAGACAGACCAATGCCGATAATTATATTCGTAACAGGTAACAGGTTGACACATTTAAACGCAGGCTTAGCCTTTTCAGACCAAAGCTCGGCTCGGTCCGTTAACACTCCTAAATTACTACCATTTGAACTGGTTAAATTTTAAAATCTAAATCTAATTGGGATGCCATTAAATCACCAAGTGTCGGGTTCCTCTTTTAACCTTTTAGTGGGGATCCTCTTAGGCTCATGTTAATGGTGGAACCTCTCCTTAGCTCCTTTAAAACCTAATGCGCACAAAAAAAAAAGTGTGCTTTTTAACCCTAATACATTGGTCCATGTGCTGAAAAATTCAAGTTGGGCTGCCCTTTATTTCGTAAGTATAGTAGGAGAGCCTCAAACAGCGCGATCATAAGGAGTGATAGAAAACAGTTATGGACGAATAATGGTGGATAGATATCTTGAGCAAAATTTTAAATAAGTGTTCTACTTTTCCTATATAAAATTTAATTAGATTACAATTTTGTGAAATTTATTAATTTTTAAAGAAAATTTGAGAAATTTATTAACTAATTTTTTTTTTAAATTAAATGTAATCTAAACATTTGACAAGCTTGTCGAAGCTCACATGAGATGGACTTAACACGTTTAATAAGTGAGTTTTTTTTTCTTCTTATTTTATTTTTTATTTTTTTGCCTTAGCCCATATATCCTAACCCATCTAGGATAGGAATTAAGGGTGAAGTGAACTGAACCAACTCGCGTTTTTTATGTAATTAATGTATAAGATTTGATAGTATAAGTTTATATTATAATTATGACATTTTTAGTTGTTTAGTGTGATATTCGTATAGTATAAGCTTATACAACAGAATCTCTTAATACATTAAAATGATGTATAACTTAATCCGGCCTAAGGCGGTGGGATTAGGCCTGATAAGGGATTGATGTATTAACATCGTTTGACTAGTGCAATTCTTGAAAATTAATATATTATTTTAATATAAATATATTAAAATAAAAATTAATCTTTCCAATATATTAATTCTAAAATATTGGAGTTTTTTTTTTATAAAAATTTATTATATTTTTTAGACACATTGATCAATAGATTTTTATAAAAATTAATATCATATGACATTTGGAAGAATTATATAAATTTTTTATTAGAGAGTATTTTTATCATATTTATTTTTATCATATTTAGTATTATACAATGCATTACCAAACACTCGATGATATTATCTTATACAGTATATTATACATTATCTTATATAGTATCATGCCAAATACTGGATATTATTAAAAATTTAATAAAATCTTATATAATCAGACCTTATACTATTAGTTTTATACTATCAGGCTTTATCTTATACTATGCATCAAACATGTCCTTGAATGTTCTAATAATGTTTAGGTCAAGTTATAGAATAATTATAATTTTTCTCAAATTCGTAGGATATTATCCCTGTTTACTCATTGCATTTTTTTCTTTAAAGACTAATGTTAGATGAACAGACTTATAATAAGGGTCTTGCGCAAAAAGATTATATAAATTGGCTACTGATTTAATGTGTACTCCTTTAGTATTACTTTTGATAAAAAGTAATGTTCAAACCAATTTACACATGTTTTCATTAATTGCATTTTATGGTCCTATATGAAAGATATACATTGAGATCAAAATATTTATAACAGTAAATATCATTTTTGGTCCTCAGCAAATTTCACGATGTCCACTTTAGTCCCTAGCAAATAAAAAGGCTATTTGTGGTCCCTAAGAAATTCGAAATGGATCCATTTAGTTAAAGTCGTGGTCCCTCATAAATTCAAAAAATACCCACATTAGTCCTTCAAAAAGACTAAAATGGGTCCACTTTAAATTTCTTAGGGACCACGAATAGCCTTTTTATTTGTTAGGGATTAAAGCGGGTATCGAAAAATTTGCTAAAGACTAAAAATGGTATTTACTCTATTTATAAACAAAAAGATAATTATGAAGTTCTAATATTTGTTGAAATAAGGATTAAAAAAAATTGTTTTAAGCAATTCCTTATGTTAATATGATTGAGGTAAAAAAATAGTTTCAAAATAGATGTATTTAAATTTATTATGGGCGGTATCTTTTTGACACCGGTGTCAAACTTTGAAAGTTGACACCAAATCCTAACCGTTGTTTTTCGTCAATCAACTGTTATAATTTTTGTCAATCAAACTTATTAATTATATTAAATATTAATTCTCAATAAATGATAACCGTTGAATGACGAAAATCAATTATTATGATTTGGAGTCAAAGTTTGACACCGGTGTTAAAAATTCCTGTCCTATATATATATATATATATATATATATATATATATATATATATATGAGGATAAACTAATATTGATGTAAGAATAATAAGTCTTATACATAATCTTAACCGTCGATTTTCATGAATCTTACAATTGTGATTTATTGGGTCACATTAATTAATTAATTTTTAATTTTTAATAAATTATAACCATTAAATATATGGAAATCAACGATTAAGATTTGGTCTAAAACTTATTATTCATATATTGGTGTAAGTTGATCTTATCCCTATATATATAATTGAATGTTTAGAGGATATTAGAACGTCTAAATGTTTGTCGTGCAGAAAAAGGTTGAAAATAAAGACAAAGTACGTAAGAACATATGCAAATTGTCTCCAGTACTTGTAGCAAGACATTGATGCTATTAATAAGCCGGGAGAAGAAAAGGAAAGAAAGATTATATAAGGTTATCTGCCTACATGGTTTATACATGTTGAAAATTTTGACCACCAAACACTGAATAAATAATGGGTACTTAACCTTTCTCAAACCAATGATAATCCTCATCTGAAGAGGAGCATAGGTTAGGCGCGTAGACTTACGCGCGCGAGTTTTTTCTTCTCTGCTAGGGTTCTGTGGGGCGTTTCTTGTGTTTTTCTCTTTGATTCTCTGTGATATGATTTGCTGATGGAAGACGAAGTGATGTTGAGTCAAGCTTCCCCAGAAGGGGATGGAGGGAAGGGGTGTAGAGAGAGGTTGCCATCTGAGGAGGACCTGGCTTTTCGAAATGGTAAGAAACCGAAGGGAGATTTGGGCGATTTGGGAGAGGATCTGGTTAAGGATGTTCCGATGATGGAAAAAGGGGAAGGGAGGGAGGATCTAACTCCTAGTCCCTCCATGCGGACCGAGAAGAAGGTTGTGGAAGCTTCTGGTAGCTCACGAAGCAAGTTGGTGTCGTATAAAGACAAATTATTGAAGCTAAATGGCGGAGATGCTTCGGATAGTGAGGAGGAGGACTGGCTGACTAGGAAAAAGAGGGAGGAAGAAGAGGATGATCTCATGGACGAGTGCCCTCAAGTTTCTTAGGAGGATCCTCTCTGTCCAACTTATCAAATATCGAAGGCTCAACATATGGAGGACTGTAAGCAGTGGCGAAAGGCTTTGATTATCAAATTGCTAGGCAAGATGATTGCTCCTCGATTTCTGATGGCAAGGCTTCAGAGGCTATGGAACTTGGTGAGTCCATATGAATTAATCGATTTAGACGATGGTTTTCTGTTGCTGCGTTTTCAGAATGACAACGATTACCGTCATGTCCTGGAAGAAGGACCTTGGATAGTGAATGATCATTATGTTGTGGTTCAACGATGGAGGCCATTCTTTGATCCATATGATGATCAAGTTAAGAAGCTGATAGTGTGGATCAGGATTCCTGGATTACCTATCGAACTGTATACTGCACATCATCTTTGGAAGATTGGCAACATTTTTGGGAGGACTCTGAAGGTTAATAGAAACTCTCTTCGTAAGAGTGACTCTGGCTTAGAGGTTATCACTGAGAGAGCTCGTTTTGCCCGCATATGTGTGGAGGTGGATTTGCGAAAGAGCTGTTTGTCAAAGTTTAATATAGGTGAAAAAATTTACCATGCAGGGTATGAAGGCTTACATTTGATTTGTTTCAAATGTGGGATCTATGGCCACAAAAAAGATTTATGCTCTGATATTGCTACTCAGGAGGATCAGAAAGCTGTTGAAGGAGATTCCCTTGCTAAATCAGATAACAGTAGTCCAGTTGAAGCCGAAGTAGAAGTGAAGCAGAAGGAAGCCTTTGGGGAATGGATGGTGATTCAAATGCAACCCAGGGGGAGGAAGTTGAAGGTTGTCCCTTCAAAGATGAAGAATGAAGATGTGAGAGAGGGTACATCAGGTGTCAAGAAGGTGGTGGCTATGGAGAAGGTGGAAGCTGGGGCTGTGAATGTTGTTATTCCTATGGAGGCTGATCAGGTTATCACCCATGGTCCAGAGATAGTGGCTATGGAATTAGGGGATGTTATAAAGCATTCCAGTAACATCCAAAATACCTTGGGGGATAGAAATCACTCTGGTGATCAGGGCAATTTGAGGAAACCTAAAGTTGCTGATGGCAAGGTCAGAGGTGTCCCTGTGAAAGGAAGTAAGGAGAAGGGAATGAGTCTCACTAGTCCTTTGCAAAAGAAAGGTGGTGTGGAAAATAAACCACCTAATATTGTTTCTAGCAGATTGAAAAAGAGAGGGAAGCCCAGTTTAGATCTGAAAGAAAGATTGGATGGGCTGACTAACCAGGTGGGTAGGAGAGGAAAATGAGTCTTGGATTGTGAGTCTCCTAGTTCATCACCTCAGCCACAGGTAGGGCAGAATGAAAATAACCCATGTACTCAATTAGGGGATTCTATCCCAACTCATCTGTGAGTAGGTCTTCCAGGGTATTGGCCCTATTCTGGTTCTTTTATTTTAAGTATATTCATGTCTGTCTGTGTATGGAATTGTAGAGGGGTAGGTAAACAAGGTTTTGCTACTCTTATTAAAGATTTAAAATTTCGTTTTAGGATTGATATTTTGGTTCTGTTAGAAACTAGAATAAATGGACCTAAAGGAGATACTATTGTTAAGCAGTTTGGGTTTCCTAATTTCTTCAAGCAGGAGTCTATAGGCTTCTCGGGTGGTATTTGGATCCTTTGGGATGCCAATGTGACTAAGCTGGAGATTATTTCAGCTCACCATCAGTTTGTGCACACTCAGGTTCATCACCTTAAGTCTTCTAAGGTGGAACTCATCACTTTTATCTATGGTAATCCTAGGAGGATGGAGAGGAGAATCTTTTGGTCCGAATTGGAGCTCATTAGCCAATCCATTCATGAACCTTGGTTGCTGATGGGAGATTTCAATTCTATTCTCTACTCTTCTGAGAAAATTGGAGGGGGGAGGTTTGTTGGGACGGAATGTTGGATATGCAGCAATGTTTGTGGAGTTGTAAGGTTAGTGACTTAGGATATATGGGTCCTGAGTTCACTTGGAAGAGAGGGAGATTACATGAGAGAATTGATAGGGCCTGCTCTAATGAAGCCTGGAACCTTACCAGGGCTGATTCTTTTATCTCTCATCTCCCTTTCTTTAATTCTGACCACAGGCCATTACTGTTGGCTCAGAGTGGCCCCTCTAGACCTGCTGATCACACTAGGACTTTTAAATTTTTGGCTGCCTGGCTTACTGATCAGGATTTTGGGAATTTGGTGAAGAGCAGCTGGCAAAATAATGTTGACTGGATTCAAGCCAGAAATAATTTTGAGGTGGAAGCGAAATTGTGGCATCAAAATGTGTTTAAAAGGAGTATTTAGCAGAAAAACAAGATTTATGCCAGATTGCGAGGCCTGGATAGTTACATGCATGGGAGATATGATCACAATATGGAGCTATTCCAGAAGAGCCTTTGGAGAGACCTCCAAGCTATCCTCATTAAGGAAGAACTGAATTGGTATAAAAGATCAAGGTGTAACTGGCTTAAATTTGGTGACAAGAATACAAATTTTTTCCACTCTTCTACTGTGGCCAGGAGGAGGCACAATAGAATCATTACTCTGAGAGATGATAATGGTTGCTGGTTAGCTGATCTTGAAGAATTGGTGGTTATGGCTGTCGAATACTACCAAAAGTTGTTTAAGGCAGAAGAAATGGATGATGGTTTCTTTCCTGTCCAGGGGGTTTTCCCTAAGCTATCCAGTTGTGAGATGAATAGGATTGCTCAGTGTCCCAGTAAGGAGGAGATCAGGAGGATCATCTTCAAAATGGGGAAATTCAAAGCCCCTGGACCAGATGGCTTACATGCTATTTTCTTTCAGAGTCAATGGGCTACTGTTGAGGCTTCAGTGTGCAACCTTGTCCAAGAAGCTTTCTAAGATCCTGATAAGGTGAAAGAGATAAATAAAACTCATATTTGTCTGGTCCCTAAGAAGGAATCTCCAGAAACCATGAAGGATTTTCGTCCTATTAGCCTTTGTAATGTGAGTTACAAACTTATTACAAAAATTATTTCTGAAAGATTAAGGGAGTTGCTGCCTAGACTAATTTCCCCTAACCAGAGCAGTTTTATCAAGGGGAGGCAGAGTGCTGATAATATAATTGTGGCCCAAGAAGTTATTCACTCAATGAGAAGAAGGAAAGGGAGGAAGGGTTGGATGATGATTAAAGTTGATTTGGAAAAAGCCTATGATAGGCTAAGCTGGAACTTTGTGAGGGAGACAGTAAAGGACATTGGCTTTCTTGCTTCTCTTTGTAATTTGATCTCCAGCTGCATGTCTTCTGCTACCTTCAAGCTGTTGTGGAATGGAATTGCTACCAAGGAAATTATTCCAGAGTGGGGAATCAGACAGGGGGATCCCATCTCCCCTACCTGTTTGTCTTTTGTATGGAGAGAATGGCTCACCTTATTCAGTTGGCAGTGGATGTGAAAGCCTGGAAACCTGTGTTGATAAACAAAAGGGCTCCCCCTCTTTCTCACTTATTCTTTGTAGATGATATCATTCTGTTTGCTGAGGCTAGTATGGAGCAAGCCTTTGTGATCAATCAAGTCCTTAAAGTTTTCTCTGATGCTTCGGGTCAAAAGGTGAGTAATGAGAAGACCAAAATTTGCTTTTCAAAGAATGTTAGCTTTGGGAAAGCTACTGAAATCAGTGAGTGCTTGGGATTTACCATCACAACTGATTTGGGAAAATATTTGGGTGTTCCATTACACCATAATAGAGTGACCAAAGGTGCTTTTAGCCATGTCATTGGAAAAATGCAGAACAGATTGTCCTCCTGGAATCAAAATTCCCTCTCATTTGCAGGGAGAACTACTTTAGCTAAAGCTGTTTTGGAAGTCTTACCTGCATACACGATGCAATCTGCTTCTGTCCATGTTGGAGTTTGTAAGGAAGTGGAAAAACTTACTAAAAGCTTCATCTGGGGTTCAAGCCATGACCAGAAGAAAATTCATCTTGTTAGTTGGTCTAAAGTTTGTAAGCCTAAGGTGGTTGCGGGTCTTGGTCTTCGGGATCAATCTATGGTAAATAAAGCTTTCTCAATGTAGCTTGGATTTAATTTGATAAATAATTCAGAAAACCTTTGGGTTCAAATTCTGAAATCGAAGTATAAGGTTGGTGATGGCTTGCTTCCTAACATCACTGTGACTAGAGATGCATCAAACACTTGGAGAGGGATTCAACAGGTGTGGGAGCATGTTCAGGCTGGTTCCTTAATCCTCCTTGGTGATGGCAGAAACACAGAGTTTTGGAAGGATCCTTGGGTCCCTGGTTTTGGTAAATTACTGAACCATGCTCTATCTGATATACCTGCTGAAGCCAGGAGTTGGAAGGTCAGTGATTATGTTTCAGTAGATGGTACTTGGGACTGAAGCTTGCTGGAAGTCTACTTGGCTGAGGAAGTTCTGGCTGCTATAGCTGGTATTTCTCCCCTATTGCAGAAGGTGGTTTCGATAAGGTCATTTGGAGACACTCTTCTTCAGGGCTGTTTTCTATTAGTTCAGCCTACTCTTCCTTGATCCCCATTCCTAATGAGCCTCAGACCAAAGATTGGAGATTAGTGTGGAGATGGGAGGGCCCCCACAGAATTAAATTCTTCCTGTGGCTTTTATTGAGTAACAAGCTTCTCTCTAATGCAGAGAGAAATAGAAGACACATGGCTGTTAATGCTAGATGCCCAAGATGTCAGGACCCTATGGAAGATAGAGATCACATTTTTAGGAAATGTAGTTGGTCTCGAGCAGTTTGGGAACACTGGGTTGATGGCAGAAGGAATAAGGATTTCTATAGTAATGATGTTGATAAATGGCTCAGCTTGAATCTTAAGCCTAAGGGGTACAATCGTGGATGGAGTCTGAAATTTGGTGTTATCTGTTGGCACATGTGGAAGGACAGGAATAATCTCTGTTTTAATGGCATAGGACACAGCCCTCATGAATTTTTTCATCAGGTTTCTATTAGTATTATGAATATTGAAAATGATAATGATATTCTGATGTCTTCTGGATTAGCTGTTAATTCTGTTTAGGAGGTGTGGATTAATTGGGTGCTTCCCATGGAGGGATGGATCAAGATTAATGTGGACGGTTCTTGCAGTAATAATGGGTCAATCCTAGCTTGTGGTGGAGTAATTCAAGATTATCATGGGACTTGGCTGCAAGGTTTTAGCAAGAACTTAGGTTGTGGTTCGGTGCTTATGGCAGAACTGTGGGGTTGTGTTTTTGGTTTGGAGTGGGCTTGGCAAAATAATTACAGATGTGTTTGTTTGGAGGGAGACTCTTTGGTGGCTAACCTTTTGCTGAGGAAAGGCTGTACTGATTCCCATCCTTGTTGTTCTCTTGTGAATAGAATCAAGGAGCTTATTGAACGTAATTGGCAGGTTAATATTTTACATACATACAGAGAAGGTAACCGAGTGGCTGATTGGATGGCTAAACTCAGGGTTGATACTGATTGGGATACACACTGGTTCAGCTCTCCTCCGGAAGGCTGTAGGGATCTTTGTTTAGAGGATTGTAGGGGTACTATGTTACCCAGATTTGTTGCTTTGTAGCTTGCTTCTTTTTAATTTCCTTTGATATAAAAAAAATGATAATCCTCCTATATTTGGTTCTAGTAACAAAGATATTGTTCAACTCTCGTGGCAATAATTTCTAAAAACTTGAAAATCGATCACCCTACTATCTTTAGAATTCATACTGAGAAGACTTCCATTGGTCATTGGATTAATTGTGGACATAATTAAAGTCACCGTGCGTTATTGATGCGGACATACAAAACCATGGACACCACATCACACTTCCACTAGAGTTGTGAGAGTCAAATTCTTTTGATGTTTGGTTCAAACGGGAGGAAGATGTTTCGTAAGTCACATGAGCCCCAGAATTATTATTAAGGGTTAAATGACACTCAACTTAATTCAAAATTTTAAAACATTGAATTCATTAGTGTAGGTCCAGAATGAACTTAAAATGAGGTGAGTTGAGTTATCTAAACTTTATGATTATAAATCAATGTTAGTTTTTCAATAATAATTTTGACCAATAAAGAAAATAACAAAGAGATAACACAAATAATTACGTGAAAAAACTCTAAAAAGAGAAAAAAAATCAATGACTCCAATCTGGATACCTCTATCCAATTGGGAAATAAATCCACAATTATGAGCCACACTCAATTCAAACTACAAGAATAAAATGTATTTTATCTTTATACAAAAATTCATCCAAATCTACCTCTAGATTTAAATACCCTAATTTACCCTCGTAAATTGCACCCCAATTATCA